CGGAGGCGGCGCAGACTGTGGGACAAATCCCTTCTCTCTGGCTCTGCCAATGATTACGAAGGGTACAAATGTCAGCGGAACCTCTGCAACAGTGCGAAGGAGAATAAACGCCGACACTTTGAAGTGCAGCTCGCATTAGCCGCGAAGACCGCCCCCAAGAGAATCTTTGCATACGTGAAGCGACGCCTGAAGCCGGCAGGTGATGTGCCAGTGCTGGATGGCACGGATGGACAGCCCCTAACCTCCAGCACTGAGCGTGCGTCCGCGTTGGCGGCGCACTTCGCTTCTGTATTTGCGAATAACCAGGTGTCTGTTCCGAGTTCGACGTGTACCGCTTTTACCGAACTCGATAGTCTGCATTGCGGCGTTGAAGAGGTAGCTCAACTACTCGCCAACCTTGACGGCACCAAACCTGCCGGACCTGATGGGTTTCACCCACTGGTACTCAAGTCACTCTCAACCATCCTCTCTCCTGTCGTGACTGACCTTTTCAACAGGTCGCTGTCCGAAGGTTCGCTGCCGATTGACTGGAAATGTGCGGTGGTGAAGCCTATTCCGAAAGGCGGCGACCCTAGCAAAGTAGACAATTACAGGCCAATTTGTCTGACACCTATTTTGGCAAAGGTTGCTGAGAAAATCGTGAAGAGATTGCTGCAGTTGCTACAGTCAAACGAGGTCCTGACGCCCGCGCAGCACGGTTTTGTGCAAGGTCGCTCATGCATTACGAACCTGCTTGTGACAAGGCATGAGTGGTTGAAGGCAATAAACAAGGGGAAATCCGTCGACGTGATATTCATCGATTTCAGTAAAGCGTTCGACAAGGTCAGTCATGAGGTTCTCCTTCACAAACACAGTATGTGTGGCGTCGGTGGTTCACTGCACCGGTGGATCCGCGACTTTCTTGTTGGACGAAAGTGGAGAGTACAGGTCGACGACCATCTAACTGACTGGTACCCCTCTACAAGTGGCGTGCCTCAAGGCACTCTGCTGGGGCCCACTCTGTTCCTGATCCACATCAACGATCTACCGCAGCTTCTCCGGTCGCCGTGTGCCTTGTTTGCGGACGACATGAAGATTTGGAGAGAAATCGACGCTCCCGATGACTGTGGCCTACTTCAGCAAGATCTCAACCGCTTATCCACATGGTCTGCAGAAGTTCTTCTCCCGGTCAACCCAGCCAAGTCTGTATTTATGAGCCAGGGGAAGAATGCTAACGGCCGAACCTACACCCTTGGCGGCCAAACGCTATATCCCACACCCTCCGTGAAGGACCTAGGTGTACTCTCACGCTACGATTTGAAGTCCGTGGACAACACGAACAGGCTATATCGGAACGGACAGCGCATGCTTTGGGCGCTCAAACGTAGCTTCGGCACATGGTCTGAAGGGGTTGCCACTCGCCTGTTCTCTTCTATCATTAGACCAATGCTAGAGTACGGTTCGCCCGCCTACTTTCCGATTACCAGAGGCGAGGCACAAAAGATCGAACGGGTCCAACACGTTGCTACCAGGCTCATCCCGAGTTTACGTGGCTTTGGGTATGAAGACCGGTGCGAGAAACTAGGACTCTACACCTTGTCCTACCGTCGGGTGCGTGTCGACCTCATTATGACCTACCGAATTCTACATCTCGGTGAGTTCCCCATGCTAAGGCCAATACTGCACTTACGAGGGCCATGCAGCACACGCGGACACAGATACAAACTTGTCGTGCCGGATGTGAAATGTGTTCCCCACCCACTGTGCTTCGAACGGAGAGTGGTAAACATTTGGAACAGTTTGCCGGAACATGTGATTGAGGCAACATCTGTGCAACAGTTCAAAACGTTGTTAGATTTGTATTTTGCCTCTATTCGATTCAGAGAACGACTGCACACTTACGATGACATATCATATTTGTGAATCCTGAAATATCGTAAGTCGAATATTTTAAATATTACATGAGAACGACGATGATATCCACGGTTGACAACTTTTATAACGTTTTTCGCCATATTTCGAAAGAGTTGTACAGAATCCATTTCTACTTGCTCTATAATACAGTATTCAGTTCTGTTCGCGTACCAGGCTGAGCCTCCTTAAAAGCAGAGTTGCTTGCACCTTGGAAGCAACACAGATGAGACTAATCCCTCTGTGGTTAGCACAGTCAGTTCGGGCACTCTTTTTGAAGACGGACACGACATCCGCTAGGCTCCAATCAGATGGGATAACTTCAGTGACCCGGATCTCTTGGAGGAGAGAGATTAATTCATGAACAAGTGATGGGCTGTCACGTTTGAAAAGAGCCGGAGGGAGTTCAGCTGGGCCTTTAAGAGGCGTAGCTCATGGGCAAACTCAGTCCCGGATGGTGGTGAAGCGTCTACACACCAGGGAGAGCCCTGGACTTCACAATGGGAACTCATTGGTGCTGCTGGCCAATTAAACTGCTGCTCAAAATGCTCGAGTCGGCGTTTTTGACAGTGGATTGGCTCGCCACTGATTTCGCATAAAAGTTCACTTACAGTCGGCCATTTTACGCCAGCAGATCGAATCAGGAGAAAAAGCTTACGGAAATTCCCCGAGGTGGCCGTTTGCTTTATCTCAATGACTCGCTGCGTCCACCAGACCTCGCGATTTTCCCGGAGCAGCTGTTTGAGCTCAACGTTGGTAGTTATGCGTAGTGAATGGTATTTAACCCTAGCAAGGATCGCTCGACGAGCTTCGAGAACTTGGAGGGATCGTGCAGAGATCCAGTGGTTGACAGGACTACTGGTGAAGTCACAAACCAGGGTTGCACGGTTGTACATGGCGTCGCGGATTTGTGTCCAGTGTGCATCAATGTCAGTGCATGAGACAGTCTTCAGCCTTGAAGCCAAGGCATCCTGAAATGTGCGGAGAGCATGGGAAGCAGAAAGTTTAGCTACGTCAAGCCGTTTCCGGCGACGATGCTGGGAGACAGCAAAGCGTAGCACGACCTTGGCACACACCAGCGCGTGATTCGAAGTGAGATAGGTATTCCAGATTGATTTGCAATCCTGTATACAGCCCCGCCAGCGATAGCTAATGGTGATGAGGTCAATTTGTGTCCACGGATGGTCAGGTGATGGGGGTCTCCAGATGGCACGCTGGCGCCAGGATCCCCGAAAGAATTAGATGAACTCCCTCCAGGCCACATCAAATTTGGGGGAAATGCTCTAGTAGGTTTACACGATTTATTGTTGAAATTGCGAAGCAGGAACCTGTTCCAAGCGTGTGGATCTGCTGCGATTTCAAAGGAAGCTCATGTTCGGAATGCGGCAGTCACAGGGGAATCAGACGGATCTATACCGTCTCTAAGTTGCTTACCACGTTCTTCACAAATTGACTGGAGCCCGTGAAAGCCAGATTCGTGAAGAGTAAGCCGGGTTTCATGGAAATTAAGGCCTAATTGACCAGATTCACTTTGCGTCGATTGTCGGAGTATCGATACTTACAGCAGTGACCCAACGCAGTAGTGTTCCAAAGCATCAAGCGTGTTTTCGATCCGGTGAATCGGATTGCTCTTTAGGAATATCCGGTTAGGAAACACGTACCCGAAATACGTAAACAGCAACGGATTGCTCTAGGCGCGTAATTCGGACGCAGTGAGGGCTTATGACAAATTATCGTCACCCTGAAATATCTCCGGTAGTGTGAGAAAAAGATGTCTACTTTTACCATTCCTTTTCAAGGTCGCTATTGACGAAGTTGTGGAAACTACGTTCAATGAACACGGATTAGGTGTGGAGATACTCCCTGATGACCGACGATACTGCTGTGATCTGTGACAGCTCGGAAACGTGCCAAGAAATAGTGGACAGACTAGCATGGATCACCCACTACACTGTTCTTTGGTGAGGATAAGCCAGAAAGCACTCCGAAATTAAACTACCCGAGCAGCTGCATACGTATATGTGGAAGAGAAGATGGGGTCAAGGCAGTGCAGGTTTTATTCGCCTTTCGTCAGGTAGAAAAGTACTTTACCAAAGGCCCATCCCCCACTCTTTCGATTTTGCGTGCGTCGGCGATGGGCGTTGGAGTCGCGCACGCGTAGGAAGCCATTCCGACAAGACCGTGTCGTTCGTGCTGACTAAGCCGTTGTGGTAGTCGTACTACCCACAGATACCACAAGAACTAACTAGGAGTAGGACTTGAAGGCAAGTGCGTAGAGAGCATGATTGATTCGGATGCAATCCACACTTCTTCAACACGTTCAACAACGATGTGAAATTTGGGGGAAGGGGGATTTGCGTGCCAGATCTGACTGAATCGTAACCCATTCCGTAATGCTACCTAGTCGTCCAGTCCAGCAATGTCATGAAGCCTGCGCATCCGGTATATCTCGGCAACGGGTAGATGCCTATACGAAACTAGTAACTGAGACGTGGGTATCGGAAGAGTGAGTGCATTGTAAATATTCGTGTCACGCGCATGCAGTCATTCAAGTTTCCAGAAGAACTGGAGCGGAACGACCCACAGATACACTATCAGGCCCAACACACTCGCTAATCCTAGACATAAACGTACATAACATGAGAGATAGCAATAGCCTTGAGTTCAGGGAAAGGAACTTCGTAAGCACTTTGCACATACACCGTAACCTGCGGTTGCGGTAAGATACGAGCAATTGGGATAATTGCGTTGGTAGAAAAGCCGAATACCCGATACATGGGCCAAAGAAGTTGGGTGGAAATCAGGTTACTTATGGTGGTTTTCCATATATAAACCGGGAAAATGGTAACGGCGGTACACCGGTACGCAGTACCGACGCCACGCAACCACCACCAGTCGCGCATGGGCTAAGAACACCGCGAGGGTCGCCCGGTCCCCTAAGTAGGCTCGAACAGGTGACCTCCGAATGGCAAAGAAAGCGTGTGATCCTTACGGTCACCGACCGGGAAGCAGAGAATTACCCGCCGTACATTCGCAACATCGGTAAGTGAAATGAGGTAAAACGTGCATCGACTCCAGTGATGAACTACGTGCAATAGGCCTCCGAGGTCGCTAGAACTGTACTGAGGAAGCACTAGCACTGAGTCAAGCATTGGACGTATCTATAAGCGCAATGCACTTGATCAAAATTAGCACTTAATGTTCTCGAGTTGATGCTGTTAAAATGTATCAACGTAGGGAGAAAACGAGATAGTGGTACACAATCTGTAGCGACAAAAGATATTTGTTTTACAAAAATATAGGAAATATGAGGTAGGTCTTCCAGGAGATCGAGCGAAGTCCTTCGTCGAGGTACCCTGGAATTGTGAGCAACAGAGTAACAAAAATCAGGAGGTTAATCGAAGGGTGGTAAGGCGAATTCCTCCGGACGGAAGTCTAACAAGCTGTTAATCCTTGTAACCCGATGGACATCCGAGTCAGCTATTGTCTCGGGAGCGCTTCCAGAAGATTCATCAGGAGCTGGAACCCATACGACGTGCATCCCAGCAGCAACAGCAGCTTCGACACCAAGAGGTGAATCCTCAAACACGAGCACGGTGCTGTTATCGGTTGGTGGGGATTGAAAGCGAGAAGCAGTGATCAAGAAAATATCTGGCTTCGGTTTTCCAAACTTCACCTGCAAATTCGAGCAAAAAGATGTGAGATTCGACCAATAATATCTATATAGTAGTGAAGAGGAAAATAAAATCGTATAGCAGCTTGATTTTGTTTTCAAGTTCGGTTACAGTTTTATGCCCGAGAATTATAGACAACCGGAAAAAGCGCTATTCCTGGATATGCAGCTAAGGTTACAAGTTCTGGAGTGCGGACAGATAAGTGCATCAATAACCGCCGTACAAGGAAAGTTCGAAATCCAACACCAATACGGACTAAGCAAAAGAAAGGGACATACAAGTATGCTGTGCTAGTGGTGACGAAGGGGAGAAGTGTTACAACAAGTTCTAGTTGCATCGACTCCTAGTCGGAACGCTCTTTACCGATAATGCGTCACGAGCAGAGTAGCCAATTGAATTCGGATCGGTATGGCCTAAGTGACCTAGTTGCCAGATATCGTACATGGGAGCTGAGACTAGCACGAAACGAGTTATCTTGCCTAACTGCCCTGAAACCCAAAAAAGGAAGACTTATTCTTGCGAAGCTCGGCGAACAATTGAACCCAAGAGCGATCAACCCGGGCTACCAGTACATCAAGCCATTTTAAAGGAAGACTTGTTGACAGCAATATTTGGCTTACTGATTAAGCGGAAGATCAATCATGCCTTCTATACCACTTTATTTGTAGCTCAATAGTTTAGTAGAGTGATAAGTAAACTGTGGAGGGAGGTGTATGTTGGTAAGACACCTGAGTTAGCATGTAGTGGTAGTGTGCTGAGGGGAGTTCAGTTGGTTCACCGCAGGTTAGGGCGGCAGATACAGCAACATGCTGAGGAAAGCTAGGTTGTTACCTGCGCATCCCGAGTCGTCGCATGGTTATAGTATGGCCGAGATGAGCTCGGGCGAAATCTGTGCAAGCTTCGCGGAGCTATGCGACCTCTGTGACAAGAAGTAAAAATACCTACATGTAATCGAAAACGGTTTCTTGTGGATGGTAACGAGTAGGCGTACTATTCTTACCCATGGTCTTTCGAGCAAACACTTCATGCGCATTGACTACATCACCAACTTGTCACGCTGGAGATTCACTCGAACAAAAATGATCTGAACAAGTGAAACGAACAGACACACGGCTGATAGACGCGTAGGATTATAATCTAGCCGGCGTAAGTGGTCCAGTGCAGTATGGGTTGCATATCTTAGAGAAAAACGGGCAATAATCGGAAATGTCTAAAGTGCAACCCTATTGGACAAGGATAATGCATCGTAGATCTCAGCGCCCAAAGTTCGGTTCCAGTGTACTGGAAAGATTACAGCACCAAAGTATAGTGGATCAAGCTGACATGTCTTGCATTACCAGGAAACTAATAGGCAATAAGGTTGGAAAAGCGAGATGAAAAGCAGAGTACGATCAAGTGGCGAAATTGATGAGGGTAGGATGCAAGGCACCGAAAAATAGTCTCACTAACGCAACGATTGCACCATGTCGGATATGGGCTTTAAGTGCTGATGTGGTGTGCACAGTGCCAAACAATAAGCATATGAAAGTCTTGACAAAGGCATACGCTACCCCTGTTGTTTACGAAAATAACGTTGAGTACTCACCACAGTCGAGCACTGAGCGGGTAGCGACGCTCGACGACACTGTGCCATCGCCTTAGTTAATCGCCGACATGATTGAATACGTATGGACTCCTCGGAGCCCATGGTTGGCAGTATCCGGTTTCGGATTTGCCTGTCACTGCGGTCTCCACAGGGACAGCCACAGCACGTCTGCGCCTACAGAGGGACCATGGGAGGCTTGCGCTGCACCAACCACACCCCACACACCACATATCCAGTGTAAACCCGAAGGAATAAGACCGGGACGCATGTGGATGGGAGCCACATTTCATCCACGGAGCCTGCCCACACTCCTTCACAGGTAAACACAAGCACGCTGTAGTCGGGAATCAATCGCACTTAAGGCGGAGGCCAGACCGTTGTCTGCTCCACACTGAGTGCATGGAACCACTCTTTGAGACTAGCACGACCACAAGGACCGTGCACCCCGTCCTCTCCAGCAACCACCAACTGTTTCCTGGAGCCAGTATGTAGTGGGTACTAGACAGATAGGCGCCTTGTCAACATGCACATTAAGCGCAGCCACACCGGGGATATCAAACAGCCAAGCACTTGGAATAACACTATCAAATTAATTATTTCTGTCAAGTCATACGGCAATGCCGACATAACTTAGCTAACTTAGCATATGAAGTAAGTTGGTTAGCAAAGGATCCGCGATAAGTACAAAATGTCCAGAAGTTACACAAAAGATGCTACAAACGCGATAAAGTTAACAAAGATAACCACAATTAGCGTAAGCAACGTGGCCAGTTAATAGATTATTCAGGTAAGCAGAACAAACCAAATAAAGTAGAATGAAATTTATCCAGCTTAAAAAGACCTAGTTTAGGTGTAAGTTGGTTTAGCCCAATTGCGGTGAAGAAGCACATAATCTTTACAGTAGATACATGCCCACTTCGGCGTCGGGAAAGAGCAAACACCGAGAACAGTAGAACTATTCGTAATGTCAAAGGTACTGAAGTTAACGAGGCGTCGGTGATCAATGGAAGTTGTACACGGTAACTCAGGTGCTCTATGGCTCAGAAGTTCCGCCGTTGAGGGCTACGGAGAATGTGATACGAAACGAAAAGACCAGGAAACGTGCAGGGTGTGCGTATCTGTGAGAGACGACTATGACGATTATTCTCAGTTAAATGACCGAGTGGACAACTCAAAAAAGAGGGGTCGTTAGTATGGTACGATTAAATGGGGCTTTGGCGGTACAAAGTGATAAGTCTCTGTGTTTGAAACTCCTACGATAAGTGTTAGGGTATAAGGCGTGGGGAAAACGGAAGTTTGAAACGCCAGCCTGATGGAGACTCGATTGCGCAGTGAGAAATGGAAACTTATGCGTTCAAATATGAAAGAGGAGTAAATGGGGATAAATAAACTGCGAAAGATACACCTAATTATTACCCTCTGTGAACGGGAAGTAAAGAAATAAATTGTTATATAATAAGAACCTAGCGCTTGTTCTTTTTCGATTTAACTACCCAGCTACCAGCGGATCCGTTGTGTGAGCGACCAACGACCGTAAGCGGGGATAGTGACAGTACGAGGAAGATTACATAAACAGGGAGGCCGCTGTGATATTGTGTACTCTCATATTCGGATATGACCAAATATAGCAGAGAAACCAGATTTAAGGTTAATTTACGTGTGCATGAAAGCGAAACAACGCAGGATTTCACCAAACAGTGTTGTTAAACGTGCATTACTGGTTAAACGAAGAAAGCATCCCGACTAAGCAAGAAGTCGGACAACATATATGCTAAGCAAGCGACATGATAACTTGCTTCAGGATCATCACCAGAAGACACTGCATGACTAAGCGCGCTCCACAGCGTTTGATGGTTTTTCATCTTGTGCTTCAACTCATCGCTACTGCAACCGGTAGCAGCTGCCATTGGGATCCCATACTTCTTCAAATGAAGTATGAGACGTTCAGCACCGGGCATACATGGGACACGATGCCACTGCTCTGCTGTGAGGGCTGAACTAAACATTGCCATCCATTCTTCCGGCGTGAATGGAGCAGAGAGCGCGTTTACCAGCGCACATGCACTTTCCAGAGGTTTCCGACCCATGAGTTTTCGCTTGATAGCATAAGTTAGTTTCAGTCCATATGGTTCCAGCAGTTTAGCAGTCACTGCGGTGTAGACCGTCTCGGTATCCAATAACAGCCCATCTACGTCAAAAATTACATGAGAAATTGTCTTCTGCATATCGAAGATGGAAATTCAGAGCTGAAAATACAAAGAAAGTTATAATTCAGATGATGCAGTAACAGCAGATGACAACGCAATAGATGCACCTACTGCGGACCAAACTCGTTCACACGTACAAGTGTGTCGGAGCTCGGTCCTGTGATAAACACCAACCCCATCGGCAAATCGGACACTTAACAGTCCGAAAACGGTGTCGCCGTACTGTTGCTAATTAATAGCTTAATGTGTAAAATCGTGCTAAAGTAAAAGATAATATTTTTAGATAATCGGTAGTAATTTTTGCACGCCTAATTCGGATACTTTGGGGTGGAATGTGTTTGTGTAATTGTTTCAAAACGAGACTATATGGTTTCGCTCATGTTATTCGTACTCCTGTAGCCGGTCCGCGGGTGTTATGTTAACGGGTCGATCAGGGTTGCTTCATGTTATCTATACCCACTTATTCCTCTGTGGCACTTTTCCTTCCCTCTTCCGTACCTCCTTAGCTGCTTCCCTTACATCGGATTCTTACTAAGCGGTTGAGCATCCAGCCGTCTACATTTATTTGGTGTTGCAGCTCTAAAGGTCCGTTGCGGCCCGCCGTACTATTTGGACACGGAAGAGCTTGGAACGCCAGACCGGAGGAATATTACATCCCTTGTGTTGCGTTCGCAGACGCATCTAGTTCTTCCGTATGGCTTCCAAGCACCTTCGGTCTATTACAGGTTGTTTGAGGTCAAATGTTCATCGTTAGATTGTTCGGAGTGAGGCTTTGCTGGTTACTAAATTGCGCAGCAGTGGCCAAGTTCGGAGTATAGATCCTTTCCTTTGTTGATTTTTAGCAACGTTGTTTCACGCCAAATCAGATTTGCAGTTCCGAATGGAAGACTAATAGGAAATATCAAATCCAGTTTCTCAAGAAACACCTAGTATCTCGTCGGCTGACTTAAGGGAGCCTCAGCCGTCTGCTCTCTTTGACCGAGAATGAAGTTCGTGCATGTAGTCCACTTGTAGGGACTGTTGGTTGGTTGTCCTTTCTGGGTTCATGGTTACATATCGTCGTCTAGTCACGGATAACGACACACAGTTACCCATTAGGGAGCATGCTTGCCTCGAAACCGCACTGCAGGGCAACCTTTCTGTTGTCAAAAGCAACACCATGCTGCGCCATCTGCATCCATAACTATCACGCGATGCGCGCACTCCTCGCCGATGCCCGGAAAGATCTGTCAAAGGTGGTCGTTACATCCATCTTGGAATGCAGAACGGTGTTAGTTGCTTATTTCGTGATCATTCGAACTTGGCGTTTTCAACCATTTTAAAGTTACAGATCCACATAGACGAGATGCCGTTGTTCCGCAGTTCACGTCAGCAGATATGGCCTATATTGCGAAACTGGAAGAACCCTGTTCACAAGTTTTTTCGTCGAACTTTATAGTGGATTAACGAAACCTTTAGACGTGAAGCAATTTCTAGCATCAACAATCCGTGAGATTCGCGATGCGATGGAACCGGGCGTCCGCACAAGTGATAATGGAAAACCCATCAAGGTTATTTTGCAATGTGTTGTGGCGGATGCACCAGCAAGAGCATACTTTCGTTAAGTAGCACTCACGATACTTTGCATGCGAAAAATGTTCCACTGTTGGTAAGGTTGACGTTTCAGGTACACCAAAAGTGAGGTGTTTATCTTGATGGGCGCATGACATTTTCGCAGTCAAAGGACGCTATCCCCCCGAACTAGCATGGACTTTCGGTTCAGGCACGAGGAAGAACACCATATTGGTGATTGACCCTTTAAGGCACTTCGCATGGACATGATTGAGACCTTCCCGTTGGATTACATGCACCAGCTTTGCCTCGGCGTGATAAAACGGTCGCTCCATCTGTGGCGCAATGGACCCATAGCAAGAAAAGTGCGCCTTCCTTCCACGGTTTTACGTGATGTGAACAACCACCTTGAAATAGCGACTAAGCGCCTTACAAGCGAATTCCCACAAAAATGTCGCACTTTGGAAGATGTTGATAGATGGAAAGCCATTGAATTCCGCTAGTTTTTGCTGTATTTGAGCCCAGTGGTTATGAAAAACATCCTTCTGGACAAACAGTACAAAAATTTCCTCGGTCTATCTGTGGCCTCCTACGTATTATGTTCGAAAAAGACTTGCTCTTATTGTCTGTTGCATGTGGAATCCAGGTTGGAAAGTGTTTTGACAGATAGGCGCTATATACGGGGAACAGGAGCTTGTATTCAATGTGCACTGTCTGTTGCACTTATGCCAGGATGTTCGTCGGTTAGGTCCTTAGACAACTTCTCTGCCCTTCCATTCGAATCATTTCTCGGACGTTTGCCGAGAACGGTACGAGGGACACACCTGTCAACATCACAGATTTTCCGACGTGTCATGGAACGGTGTTCATCGCAGGTCCCAGCGACTCTTCTGGATGAGACCTAATCAATCCCCATTATGTCAACAGTTAACATTGCGACTTCATTTATGTGCAACGGTGTGGTCATTACGATGAAGTATTCGAACAACGTAGTTCTGGCTGGTAGCACAGCGTAATTGGCAATGAGTATAAAGGCAATCAGAGGTACGTGTTCAGTCTTTCCCGCATTGCCAATCATTTTCCCACAAGTTCATACCATCAGAAGACTTGGTTGGCGGCATCCGGTTTCGGATTTGCCTGTCACTGTGGCAAGCCACAGGACGCCTGCGCCTACAGAGGGACCATGGATGGCTTGCGCTGCACCACCCACAGCTCCAACCACATACCCCATATCCAGTGTAAACCCGAAGGAATAAGACCGGGAGGCATGCGGATGGGAACCACGTTTCATCAACGGAGCCGGCCCACACTCCTTCACAGGTAAACACAAGCACGCTGTATTTGGGAATCAACCGCACACAAGGCGGTGGCTGGACCGTAGTCCGCTCCACACTGAGTGCATGGAACCACTCTTCGAGCCTAGCACGGCCACAAGAACCGTGCACGCGGTCCCCTCCAGCAACGAACAACTGTCTCCTGGAGCCAGCATGAACGAGGTAGTGGGTAATAGACAGGTAGGCACCTTGTCAATATACACATCAAGCGAAACCATACCAGGGATATCAAACAACAGCCGTTCACTTTAAACGACAAGCTGAAATAAAATAAATCCAATAATGCATACAGATACGGTGGCATTACTCTTCGCTAAATTACCATATGAAGTTAGTTGGTTAGCAACAAATCCGTGATAAGTAAGAAATGTCCACAACTTACTTAAAATGCTACAAACGCAACAAAATAACCGAAGATAAGCGCAATTAGTGTAAGCAACGTGGCCAGTTAATAGAACATTATTCAGGGAGGCAGAACAAACCAAATAAAGCGGAATGAAATTTAGCCAGCTTAAAAAGACCTAGTTTAAGTGTAAGTTGGTTTAGCCCAACTGCGGTGAAGAAGCATCAAGAATGCAACATCAGCCTCAGCATGGGGCACCATCAGAAGACTTACGTATCTACCAATGCACCCGCGCCATGACTCCACCAAAATGGATAGGAAACTGTGGTAAGAGACAAATGCTTTTCCATTCCTTTGAATGAAACTGCCGTAATTTATCCCAAAATACACAGTTGGGGTCGAGTTTGGTTTGTTATACTTCCGCAGCATGTGACCAGGTATGTAACCCAAATGGTTAACTTGCAGATGTATCGCGTCATAGAAGTTAAGGACAGTAGTGTCGTAGGTCACCTGGATGGACAGCGAAGGCAAAGTTGGGCGGCCCAAGTGGTCTTCCGATCAATATACCTACACCTGCTGGTTCGCTACTTTTCAAAGTAAGGACGCACCGATCCACTGGTGAGTGTCAATTCTATTTATGCATCCGTTATTAGATGACTATACAAACGCTAAGCGTTTGGAGGGTGAGCTAATGGTCACAGTTGTTGTCCAGCAATGCTACCTGCGTGATGGAAAGCGGAAAATGTAAACATATCGTAAATCGGTCATTTCTGCAGCACCGGGAAAGAGTTCCTAGACTGCGAAACACCGCTGAAGCAGTCCACAAGCCACCGATGGACATCCTCACCGGACGATGACGACTATCCCCCACCCCCCTCGGCTGGAGTTGGAGGATGATGTGACTCCTGTGAAATCGCTGGAAAATATCTAGACAATATATAGATCAAGAAGCTCAAGATACGTGCAACTGAAATTACGTGATTGTTAGCCTCGTACATACCAAATTTTCACGCTTGTCTTAGTCGCGGATACCTGCTGACTACGTTCCGGACACGAATGAGGTACTAAGTAAGCGTTTCATTTTCTCCATTAACATGCAACTGTAGCTCTGTTGTTAAATCTCACGCAATGTTATTAAACTGTGCGAAAAGCACCGCGAACATAAGCTGGCCACGTACTCTGACGCTTCTAGATCTGTTCATACATTGGGTCAATACATCGTTGGCGGTATCCGCTTCCGGATTTGCCAGTCACTGTGGCCAGCCACAGGACGCCTGCGCCTATAGAGGGTCCACGGGTGGCTTGCGCTGCACCACCCACAGATCCAACCACATCCCATATTCAGTGTAAACCCAAAGGAATAAGACCGGGAGGCATGTGAATGGGAGCTAGGTTACATCAAAGGAACCGGCTCACAATCCTTCACAGGCAAACACAAGCACACTGTATTTGGGAATCGCGAAGCAACCAAATAAAATAAATCTGTTAAAGAATACAGCTATGACGTCACAATTCTTCGATAAATTAGCATATAAATTGAGTTAAATATCAATGAATCCGCGATAAGTACAAAATGTCCACAAGTTAGCCAAAAAATACAACAAACATAATAAAGTTAACGAACATAACCCCAATTAGCGTAAGCAACATGGCCAATTAATAGAAGATTATTCAGGTAGGCAGAACAAAGCAAATAAAATGAAATGAAGTTTATCCGGCTTAAAAAGACCTAGCGCATATATATATATATATATATATATATATATATATATATATATATGGCTGGCGGCATCCGGTTTCGGATTTGCCTGT